AATGTGTCAGACTGCAAAGTCGTTTGAGCTGCAAAGTCGGTGGTTCAAGCTCACCAGGTGCTCCTTGGAAACCTTAGACAGGGTTGCTATGGGTCGGAATCAACTCAACAGCACTTAACACACACACACACACACACACACACACAGGCTCCGGAAACACCACCGTGTTGCCTCTACTCTTTGCTTTGGTTCTTTCTTCAGAACCAACAGAAACCCTTACTCACAGTCGATTTTCACTCACAGCACCCGCCCACCCTGTCTCGTAGGGTGTCCGAGGCTGTCATCTTTATAGGTGCTGACTGCCTCATCTTTCTCCTATGGAGTGACTGATAGGTTTGAACTACAGACCCACTAGACCCCCAGGACCCCATAAACTCTTTTTGGTTAAGTGCTATTGAGTGGGTTTTTGATGTCACAGTGTTTCCAAGGCTGTAAATCTTTATGGGAGCAGGAAACGGCCTCGTTCTCCTGAGGAGCAGCTGGTGGGTTTGAACTGTCGATCTTGTGATTAGCAGCCCAGTGCGTACCCTACAGCACTACCAGTGCTTCTAAACTCTTGTTAAGTGCCGTGGAGTCGGTTCCAATTCATAGCAACAATGTATAGGGTTTCCAGGGAGTGGCTGATGGTTTTGAACCATTGACCGTGCAGTTCAAGCTGACCTTGGAGTTCACACGGACCTTGCAGTCCAGTGCTTTATCCCACGGTGCCCCACCAGGACTCCTCTTACTTGGTGATTAGAAATCCCAGGTAGTACATATATCTGTGCTATGTACAGTTTCACCCTTTGCGTGTAGGTCATCTGAGCCTTGGCCTCTGCCATGTGATGCATTGGTAGTAGTGCTTACCACCCTTTATAGACTAGCAAATGCAAGGCAGAGAGAGGGGTTGATTATTTGACTGAGATCTAGGAAGTCAGAGCTGGATGTTATCCAGGCATTGAGACCAGTTCTGCCGCAACATATTCTAGCAAGATCCAGGACCTGCCATTTGTAACTGCCTGGGATGTTCCACTCCAGAATGACCAAGTCCTGAGAGCTGACCCACAGCACTAGTGCCAAGGAAAGAGGGCGGTGTGGTGTATTTGCTTCCCTTTCCCATCTGGGGATACAGGTACCTTGCTTGCTGGAACTTCGCAGGTTGCTTTGAGAGTGGCTTTGCTGGTAGAGCCCTCCGGCGTGGGGCTCTGGGTGCTAAAACCATGGCCACTCAGCTGCTAGCATGGGAAGGGTTTGTGTGGCCTGCCGTTCTGGCAGAAGCTCCTTTTGTCAGTCCCCGACTTGTTTTTACAAATGACATTTGGTCAGTGGGTTATATAACAAATTGCAAATGGTGTGTGTGTGTGTGTGTGTGTGTGTGTGTGAGAGAGAGAGAGAGAGAGAGAGAGATTCCTTTGGCTTGCAGTACACTCATATGTACCTTGACAACATCATACCTTTGAGTGTAATTCAAAGAAATGTTACCTAAGTACCATATTGCTACTGAGAATTTGGCATTGTTTCCACCTCAAGTAACACTCAGTTCCTCCTCCCCATCCCCCTTTGTTTTCAAAGCCCTTATCTAATTCTCTGTAAATCTTTTCTAGCTTGGATTTGATAGCTTCATCATCGCCCCCACCCCCAGCATCCTCATTTTTCTGGCTCATATAATTGCATTCATTCCAGTATTCATTTTGGAACAATTTCTGTAAGTATAACATGTAAATTTTTACAAGCATTTGAGAGACTACATTAACTCTGCTCTGACGCTGTGGGTTAATGAGCTGGACTGCAATGTCAGTTTGAACCGTGAGGTCGGCAATTTAAGCTCACCACTAGCTGCTCCTCAGAAGCCCTGTACAGGGTCACTATGGGTCAGAACTGACTCGACACCACTTAACCACCACCACCATCATTTAAGATACCTCTACCAAAGCGGGTTGGCCCTATGCTGTTATGACAATCATACCATGTAAAAGCCCTAAAAGGAATTTTCTTAATGTATTGCTGTGGAATCTTTTGGTCATTTCAGGAATGCACTTAGGTATTTTCACGCGTTAGATTTTAAATGAGTAGGCACCTCCCCTGGAGTCTTCGATGTTTTATTTTCATCTCTTCTAAGTGTCACAGGGCATGAACTCTAGAAATGGAAATTCATCCTCTTGTAGTGTTTGGTGGCATGATTTCTTTCAGTTAAAAGAGACGGCATGTTGCTCTTAACCTAGTATTTTACATCCACTTGACCCACCTGGTAAGGCGGTGGGGTGGGTTAAGCATTGGGCTGCTAACTGCAAGGTCAGTAGTTCAAACCCACTAGCTACTCCGTGGACAAAAGATGAGGTTGTGTGCTTCCCTAAAGATTTACAGTCTCAGAAACCTTAGAAAGGGTTGCTATGAGTCAGAATCGACTTGTTGACAGTGGAATGCCACTTTTAACAATTACTGGATTCTGGATTGTCCGAGTTTGTGTGGTCAAGTGTGACAATCTGGAGTCCATGTGGAAATGGTGACAGGTAATTCAAATGAAGAGATGGGGGAAAACCCTGTGTACAGTCATGTGTACAATCATGCTGACGGTCAGTCACCTCTGCTTTGTAGAGAGTTACTGTTAGATGTAGATAGATTTTGTGTATACCTGAGTCTACCTTTCTGATAGGCTTGCTATGGTTTGGGTTTGTGAAACCACCAAAGGGACATGGACCCTTACACAAACATCTCCACTGCATCGGCTTTTCCCTGTTCCCTGGGCGAATCCCCTAAGTATATGGCTTTTATTTGTTGGAACTAGCCAGAAAAATTCTGTGCTTTCTCTACAGAACTGGAAAGTGCTAATGCTATGCTTGATGCAAAATACAGCCTGGTGTGGGTTATATTATTTTTCTCTTGCTTAATACAAGATTTTATTATTTTTGTCAGCAAGGAAACCTGCAGCCATTTCTTAACGGGCTTGATTTCCAGGCAACTGTGCGATCACGAATATGCGTAGGGTTTCAGAGTCACAACGTACTGAGGAAAAAAGAAGATGGATTTCTGTTTGGTAAAAAGGCAAGTGAGTGAAGCTTTCATTTTCCTGCCTCTCACTCAGTACATCCACAATAATTTCCACCTACAGAGACCTTCAAAATAACCACACACAGGGTATTTGACTCTTATCTCCAAATATTTATTGTAACACTTGAATAGAACTACAGGAAGCCCTTGGCACTGATAGAAAATATTGATTCACTGTTAGGTTACAAAAATTTATACATAGCAAAATGTAATGCTCTTGACATAAAAAATATTAGACTACTTAAACAAAACTTTCCAAAGTTCCTGGCACTCTACCAGAGTTAGAAAAGGAAAATTAGGCTTTAAACATTGTCTCTCCAAGGAGAACACGGGACGCTCACAGCACCTCCACTGCTGGGGAAAATATTGAAATGTGTCATGCAACAGGGAAAGAGAACACTAAGCTATTCCGGAACAACGGAGCCCTAACAGAAGAGTGCTTCTCCCAATCAGAAAACCAAACAAGTTCCAAGTAGGCGTTTAGGCATTAACCACAAAGGGAAAAAAAAATTAAAAAAAGATCCAAATGAACTCATTCTGGAGGAAGATCAATTTTAATAGCATCTCGATAAAGGTATGCTTCCTTTCATTTGAATACATTTCTGCACACGTATAGGTTTGAAAATCCAGGAAACAGCCAAACCACAAGTTAACTCTTAACATGAATATACATTGTTAACTATATAATGCAGCCCCTTAGAAAAGCACTGATGTACCTGACAGTTAATATGTATCATCTCAGAAAGAACAACACAAAGTTTACCATCACTAACACCCAATACCTAGAGAGTCATGGAATGTTCTGGAGCACATGATGTAGAAGGCAAGTTTCTGTTGCAAATGGCTTAAACTCAAGCAGTTTTCTCGTTGAACTTTATTATCCCAGGAAAGATTTAGATATGAAAAGAAATAAATACCCTCATTTAAATTACTGAAGTAGTCAAGTCTATAAAAGTAGGAGGTCTGTGGCCTGTTTGTAATTCGGTTTCAGATCCTTGGTATGAAATTGTAAACTCATTCAGACCACTTCAGAATGGTGTTGGGTGGTGGTCATTTTAATAAGGTAACACTTCTTAATAAAAACATCAATGGAGCAAAATTCTGTGAAGGAATTAGGGTCTCCTAAATACAAATTTAAATTAGGGTCTCCTAAATACAAATTTAAATTAGGGTCTCCTAAATACAAATTTAAGACAGAGCTGACACTTAGATCTAACAGAATGAGAGTGACTACTAGGTCATTACTGTTTTATTAAAATGGAATCCGTCATAGATTCGATTCTGGGGAGCCTTGTCAATGAGTCAGAACCTAGGCTCCTCAGACATTATTGAAAAGTGTAAGTGTGATCTGCACAGGAAATGAATGTAGTCGGGACTTCAGGGGTATGGAGGTCAATTGTTGAGAAAGCACGTCAGAAATGGACCCTCCATTTTATTTGCTGTCTCTCGGTAGACTGATTTGAGGATAGGTGGCATGTGGGGGTTCACGGTCACATCCCTTGATGTGGCACGTCACTGGTCCCCATCAAGGAGCATGACTCACCCCAATGGCCTGTCCCGGGTACAATTGCTCTAGCCCCAAGGATGAACCTGCCACAAATTTCAAAAGGATGGACCCATCATTTTGTCAAAGTGTTGCCTTTTAAAATGGCTGACGTAAAACCTCCCAGATCTGTTTGTTTTGAAGGAAAAGATTTACCCGCTGGAAGGCTTTCCTAGAAATGCACCCCAGCAGCTTGAGACAGACAGTGAAGGGTTTGGACTTGTACCGGGGTTTGTTTGGTGGGACACACATCTGTGCTGCTGAGCAGCTGTCTGCTGACTGGTCAGAGCTGTCAATTCTCCGGCGGAAATACTCTGGCAAGCACTTATGTGTAAGAATTGAGTTGCTCTTTTGACCGAGACTGGATATCTTGCAGTTCCTGGTCTTCCTTTGCTTTGATATCCTGGTAAGCCTGCATTTTGCTTGCATCCTTTAAGTAAGCCCAGTTAGAAGACAGTATCATGAGGAAGTGGATCTGGAAAAGAAGGGTGAGCATGATGGCTAGTGAGCATGTCAGAAGGCAAAGCAAGCGGCTAGTCAGTCACATTAGACGGGCTGCACTTGGAAAGGGAGCGAGGTTACAGGGGATTAATACTCATTCTGCCGTCAGAGGGGTCAGAGACTGAAAGCATGCTCTACTCCTTTGCTTCATTATTAAGAGGCCGAAGAAAAGTTAGTCTACAAACATACAATGAACTTTATAAAAAGAAAATGGCCCAAGTTACTGTTAGGAAAAAGCAAAAAACTAAAATTATACGAGAAGGTGCTTTTTATCATTTGAGAGTAATTAATGTCAAAGACTAGTACAAAAGTCTGAAACACGTAGTTTTATTTTAAACAAGTGGAGTGCACAGATCTTTTTTCTACCTGTGGATGAAAATCAATTTCCCCAAAGGCCTAAAAGTGTGAGCATTGTTTATTTTGGGTAAATAGCTCGTTGTTGTTTTTAAACTACATATTTAACATGGGAAAATTAAATGAATGTAAAAACCAAAATTAAGAACTAGCAAGCAAAGCATGCAGTCTTTGGGTTAACACGTTTTGTAGTAGAACTAGTTTTCAATTGGCTAACTGCCCGTACTGCGTTTCACAAAACGTAATAATCCTCATTATCACTCTTGACAGTTGATGTGGCAAACACTTCTCTCTCGTTCATGTTCCTCAGCATTTACTGCAAAATTAATCTACATCTCCAGTTCCTGACACAGTTCATATTTCCTTCTCAACGTGTTTGAGACATTCCCATCCAGGTACAACTTCTTTTCCCAGTAAAGTCTTACGTGCAGTTTGGGAACTGGCTAGAAGAGTAAGGGATCAGTTACCGTTCAACAAACACAATGCTCTAAAGGGGCTCATTCTAAAAGGAATAATGGTGGTGAGTACAAAAATCCACATTGCACGAAAGGGGGTATTTGTCTTCCAATTGTCACCGGGCTCCTATTAAGTGGCCTTAATTGGATCAGGAGTTATGTAATGATGTTTTTGTTTTGTTTTTAAATACAAATTTGCAAAAATCTGACAGAAAACACTAACACGGTTCTCCACTTTCATCCTCACTGCCGACAGTGGTTATGGATCAAGCAGAGTTAATGGAAGAGGCAGGCAGTCAGAAGTTTTTTAATACTGCATTTTAGAGCGACTGCTCAGAGTTTATGTTCAAGAAAATCAGCTTTCTCTCTCACCATGGCTTTCACTAGCATCAGTAAATAACTGATCCTTTCGACATATGAATATAGCCAGGTCTCAGTACTGGGTAACTCAGGTACAGTATTAACGCTACCGGGCGAAAATGAGTTTACTAAAGCTATGTACAAGTGACTCTAACGTGGCTGCAGAAACCTTGCTCTGCTTTAGTCTAGGGGGTCAGGGAGACTTCACACTACAGAGGATAGATAGCTTGCTAAAAAGCTCCTTATCAGCCTTAGACAATTTAGAACTTAGTGCAGCAATCTTCCCGACTCTTAAACTTCAAAACGGCATAGTTATAGGTAGTAGCCATCATGTAGATCAGCTGGTGGAAGAGAACAAAACAGGGCGGTGAGACAGGCAGTCAGGACTATCCTCCCCATTATCCACACAACGGCAGGGGGGCAGCTCCCCCTACATGGCCTCAGAGTCAGTGTGTGTTTACCAAATGACTTCGCTGGGCTCTAGGAACAAGATGGAGAGCTGGGACCACGGCAAGGGAAAGGTGCTTCTAGATGCCTTATCCCCTGACACCCCTCCACCCCAATCTTCCCCCACCAGCCCAGTCAGCTGCCTCAGCTCCCCCCTTCTCCTTGCCTGGTGCCGGCTGAAAACAACAACCCGGATAGGTGGCTACCGAAAAGGGGGGCGGTTAGTTTTCATGGACTTGAGAAGAAATGGTTTTCTAAGACACTCTCCCATTCTTTGTTGGATTTCTTCAAATCACAAACCCAGGCCTCAAACATATCCACATACATGCACATATATGTGTATGTGTGTATATACAGGTGACTATTTCTACTTGGAAGTTAGGACTTCTTGGCAAGGGAAATGGGCAGTGTCTCAGTGAGAGTATCTGTCCATTTTGAAGTTCTGGCACTAAGGGCTGAATGCAACAAAGCAGTCCGCTAGCCCTAGTCAACAGGCGCTTCAGGTACCTGGCTGGTACCCTCCTCTCCTTTTCACCGAATCCAAATGTCATCACCTACAACCTGGGCCGGGCCAGCCAACTAGTACACTTACTTCCTGCCGACCTGAGCGTGTGCTACGTTTTCACAGGTGCTAGTGAGCCGAGGCTGGTAAGAGCTGTAAGGGAAATCTGTCATGACAGAGACTGGAGGGAGGAGGGGGCACTAGATTAGGGGCAGCCCGGGGGCTGTTACTCACCAGGGCAATGACGGTGGCCCCAGCTCCTGCACAGGCCACAATGAACAGGTGATAGGACATGTAGAACTACGAAGGAACAGAGCACGGACGTGAGCATGAGACCGAGACGCAGAAGGAAATGGCCTACCTCCCTGGCCTGGGGACCGCCACTTCTAGCAGCAGTTCTCTGCAAGGCTGGGTACAGGCTAACCTGGATGACTTTCTGATGCCCAGGCCGCACCCAGAACAGTCTAATCAGACTCCCAGGGGCTGGATCTCAGCTATCAGTGCATTGTAATGTTCCCTCCTTGACTGCCCAAATGTTAGGAGTCCCTGCTTTGCGCCAAATCCATAGCCAATTTGAGTAGGAGCTAATAACTTCTTGCACTCATTACTCTTCCCAGAGTACCTTAGGATCCTGTTAAGTATTCAAACTCCTACAGTCCATCCGAGAAAGGTCTTTTCTAAACCATTAGAAGCCAATGACTAAAGAATAATTCTAGAGCTCAGAGATTTTAAAGTGTTAAAAGATTTACTGTCAATTTAAGGATGGATGAGAAATTAACACCAAAATCCCTGTGGATTTATTAACTGCCTTAATTTCTAGGAGTTAAAGCAAATTCAGGGGAATTTTTTTCTAAGAAAAGTCATTACGTTTGTTATGTGACATATGTTCTTTGTACTTTGAAAAACTTCCTGAAGGGGAAAGAGAAGAATCTAGATATTCTTCCAGATTTCTGGGTTTGGGATCACTCCCAAATTATTACCAAAAGACAAACCACCAATTCCTAACGACTCAACAAATTCGATGTACCCTATGAAATGGCAACTTTTGCCAGTGAAAAATGGCTGAAAGGTGATAGTGTTTGGTCCTAAAGACTGAACAAAAGAGCTATCCTTAATCAGTAGCATTGGAGGCAGCTCTCTCTCTCTCTTCTACCTAGGAGAATGTTCTCAGCCTTGTTTATGAAGAGAGGGGTGGAGGAGCCCTGTGGCCCAGTTTACCTCACTGGTGTTGCAGATGTTCTCTAGGGCAGAACCACAAATTTTTCCTGGGAAAGCATTCCAAGGAATGATACCTGCAAAGGGAACCCCAGTAGAATTTTAGTGCGAGCCAGTTTGAATGCGTTTAAAAACCTGAACTCACTGCCATCAACTCATTAAGTGTCACTGAGTCAGTCATAACTCATAGGGACCCTGGACAGTATTTCCAAGGAGTGGCTGGTGGATTGGAACTGCCAATCTGTGGTTAGCAGTCCACTGCCACACCAGGACTCATGGGGACCCTGTACAGAGTTTCCGAGGAGCAGCTGGTGTGTTTGAACCTCTGATCTTGCGGTTAGCAGTCTACTGTTGATCCTACAGCGCTGCACTAGGGCAAATATGTTAAGGGCCGTGTAATCAGTTGCGACTCCGAGGAGTGGCTGGTAAGTTTGAACCACTGATCTTAGGGTCCAAACTGACCTTGATGTCCAGTGCTTATCCTGCTGCACCACACCAGGGCAGATGAGATTAAAAAGATGATTACTCGATGAGTTCTGGTGTGGTGCTGTGGGTTAATGTGCCAGACTTCAAAGCCATTTGAACTGCAAAGTTGGTGGTTCAAGCTCACCAGCTGCTCCTCGGAAACCCTATCCAGGGTTGCTATGGGTCAGAACCGACTCGATGGCACTTTAACAACAACAACAGATAATGAATCTTTTTTGGTGAAAAGTGACGGAAATGGACAATGATAAACTTTTTCGAATTCAACATACATCTACTGTTAATCGGTGCTAAAGAACATTGTTGCCAACTATTGGGCTTTAGGACATGAGACTGACCTGACGAGTAGTTTTGGAATGGTTTGGATTACGCTGTAAGGGAAGAGGTTGAGGATAATTCTCACAGGAAAAACAAAAAGCTGTCTCTCAACAGTGAAGTTTTGAAAGGGCAGGCATTTCTTTTTCAAATGTGATAAAAAGCACTTTTCCCTGGTTCACTCTTCGTGCTTCCTCCCACCCTGACTCAGTGCTGTCGAGTGGGTTTGGTCTCACAGCAACACTGTAGGGGGGGCGGGGCTTATCCTACCAAGACTTCACCCTGACTAGCAGCACCAATTAAACCCCGAATTCTCTCGCCTGATAGGGTAGAAGAATCCCAATTTAATTGAAGGCTTGTCCAAGGGACTCTGGTAGTGAAGTGGTTACAAGTTGGGCTGCTACTGCTGGTCAGTAGTTCAGATCTATCAGTTCCTCTGTGGGACAAAGAGGAGGCTTTCTGCTTCCATAAAGATTTACAGCCTTGGAAACCCTATTCAGGGTCGCCAGGACGGCTGCCAAAGGGGGACATTCTGATGACTTTAAAACGCCTCTGGAACTAATGATAACACAAAATTTAAGCCATTGGCCCAAACCAAAAAGAGTTGGGCATGCAAATTACTTCCATTATGATTCAGTTATACGTCTATAATTCAGTTATTCGTCAATATTTTGGAAGGGAAGTTAGGTGGTAAAAACTGAAAAGATTGAGGCAAACTGATACCATCCGAGGATAGGCAGAGTGATTTTGGTAACAACACATAATTGAGGCTCAGGCACATACAAGCACAAGAGGCGACAAATTCATTGGGATTTAAAGTGAGTACCGTATTGCCGGATATCCACACAGATCTGCTCCACGCTTGCCGTCCCATTGGTGTGTGGTGACTTGATGAGCTCACAGGTTGACCAAATGTTATAGAACATGAACACGGGCACAGCAGAGAAACCGAAGACACCCAGCCACGCCACTCCGAGCACATAGGTGAGGAAAATGAACTAAGCCGAGAAGGAGAGGAAGAAGACCCGTCACTCAAACTTAAGTTGCAGTCCTTGAAAGGAATGATGATCCGTCTCTGGGCACGATACCGAACCCATGGGAGGGACTCAGAGGATGGAGCGATCTACCATAGGTACGGAAAGCTGGTGGCTGGGGACTGGAATTCAAACTCTTCATAACTATAGGCCTAGAGCCGTCCCTGGGCGGTGCAAACCATTACTCAGTAGCTATCTGAATGGAGCGGTGTTTGAGTTCAACCAGTGGTACCTCAGAAGAAAGGCCTGGTACCTCAGAAGAAAGGCCTGGTGTTGGAGTCAACTCGGTGGCAACTGATGAGAGGATCCTAGCATGTTAATGCTAGAAGCAACTGCTTGGACTTTTGGGGTCCTGTGTTAAGGGGAGACTAAGGAGGTGATAACACTTGTCCAAGGTCACAAAGTAAATTAGTGACGGGACCTGTCACATGGTGCTTCTTCTAAACATGCACTGCGAAAAATCAGCATCCTATTTAACATGGAGTCCATGGATGTCTTCCCATGGTACTGAATTACAGCTTCATACCAATGTTACCAGAATTGCTGATGCTATACATAACGGGTGTGGGGGGCATCACAGAAAAGAGTAAGGGCTACAGGAAACAAGCTTGGCTCCTTTCATGAGCTTGTGAAATTTAAAAGTTCAAGCTAGCCTTTCTCATCTCTCTAGCTTTTTTTTAGTCTTTAAAAGTCACAGCCACTTTGCAAGCAACTCATTGGTGGAGTGTGAAAAAAAACCCCAAACCCTCATGTTCACCCACACGTTGCCGTGGGCAAGTTCAAGCAGAACAGAATCATACCGTTGTACTTTCTTCACAATCTTCCATCTTGACTACCAAATCTCAGAACTTTGAAAGGCAACTTCAAAAATGTCCTGGTATTTATATATAAAATGTGCACCCACAATGCATGTGGGCGTGAGTTTGGAGGGCTCCTCACTTAGCATCATTTTTTTGAAGCTGGTGGTAAACACCTGGAGATCCCACCTACCTCTTCACATGGCATATACCTAAACAATGGTGTCAGGCTCAAACAGGGTACCTCCTGCTGGTCACCCCAGAAAACTGCAAGAACAGGTCACCTTTTCACCTGAATTTGAAAACACTGACATTTTTGGAAGTATTGGTATTTCTCCAGAATAAAAGGGGGCATCAAAACATTCATGGAAAGCTGGAACTGAGAGATGACAGAACTGTCCGTGAACTCTGTAAAGCCCCCTCAGAGAGAGGCCTGTGCAATGTCGCCACCTCCTTACCCAATGCCAACAGGCCACCACTATAGACTAAGGTTCCCTTGTCTTTCTCTTCAGAAGAGATCTGGATTTTCTTTTAGCATTGCCACACATACTTGCAGAAGAAGGGTTTTCTTTGCCTTGACAAGCCATTCCCACCCTGCACCATGCTCAGGGCTCCAGAGGGAAGACCAGTGGCGCCCTTCCCTCCCCACAGTGGTCTCCTGCATCCTGTCAGTGACTAGGTAAAGGAGTTCCATACAGGACTAGCCACTGGGAGGCTCCAAGAGCACTGTGCTCTCCCTGCTGGGAAACAGCACAGGACCACTCACTTGTCTGCCTCCACATTGCACAACTGCGCCCCCTGCAGTCATCAGTATGTTTCTCCAGCCCACCCGTCAGCCCTCACGAGTCCTACGTCTTCCTCATAGGCTCCCAGGCAAGTCAGTGCCATGGTCCCAGCGTGTGAGGCAGAAGGGAAGATGGTGCAGGACTCAATAATGAAGTGGACGCTCTCCAAGGCCTTTCCTCGAGTGGAATCACATACATTCACCATATAAAGCGGGCTGTGCCACTGAGAATGGAGTGGGGGAGGCCTTCCAGCGCCCCCCTAGTGTATCTCCACCCTTTCCTCCTCCAGCACCACTCCAAATTGCAGGCCCATCTCAGTGCCCACCAGGTCAAGTTTAAGCTCCCAGAAATCCCACAGACAATGGAAGGAAACACTGCCTAGTTCCACGCCAGCGCCACGCTCAGTTGTGGATCGGACCATCCGATTTTTTTTCACTGGCTGATTTCCAGAGGTTCATCTCCAAGCCTTTCTTCCTGGGTGAGATCTGCTGAACCTGTTTAGCATTGATTGTAGCAGCACAAAAGCCTTCACTGGCAGGCAGGCACACGTGGTAGCACTATCTACCTAAAGTGCAATCAGATACTGTTCCCCAACTCAGAGCGAACCAACAAACAGTAGAAGGAAGCACTCCCTATTCCTGTCCTCTCTTCACAATCGCTGCCATGTTTGACCCATTGTTGCAGTGAATGGGTCAGTTCATCTCACTGAAGGTCTTCTTTTTCTGGCCGTCTTTACCAAGCATGATACTAAAGTGTTCCAAAATAAATGCTATCAGGGCACTGGCAAAAATTGGGCCTTTTTTTCCCCCCTAGAACTTGAGCACAAGTGAAGAGGAAAGGTGTCATTTTAAATCTGTCAAGGCCTTTGCACTTTCTGTTGTTAATTTCCCTCTGTTCCTACAGTCAAGTTTTCTACTACAGTTGTCTCCTCCCCCACCTGCGGCAGTAGCCACTCCCAGTGTGGCTGTCACTGCATCCTCGTCTTTTTAATGACAGCTTCACTGATGTATAGCTAACTCTCCTGAGTCTTCCATTCAGTCAGGTGGCTGGTTTATGAACTTAAGCTGAGAGAGCCAAGCCAAACCAAGTATCCTACTTGGATTTGAAGACTGGAGAGGCTCTACTCGGCCAAGAATGGAGTTGCTCAAAGCATCAGCTGGGCAAGGTTTCTGCTCTGTCCATTGATTCTTTGAGGAACATGGTTTCCAGAAATAGCACCAAGTGAGGCTCTCTATGAAGAGATTGTCGGTCCCCGGGAGGGGTGTCTACACGAGCATATGCTGTGTGTTCTTACTCAAGCAGCCACAGGAAAATAGAGGGATTTGCAAGGGGTCCAGACAGGGCTCCAGCCCTACTGGCTACTCTGAAGTCTTACAAATGGTGTCCTTCAAGAAAAGGACCATTGCCAGCAGGTGTGGGGTGGAAAGCAAATACTCAAGCTGTGCCCACACGTGCTGAAAGGCAGAGCTTCATGGAACTCTTTAACACCACCGTCTTCTTGTGGCTCTGGTCTCAGACAGACTCGATTGCATTTATGACCTGTGTTTGGTTGTGAGGTAGTATTGAGTGGTCGTGGAGCTGTGGGATGATGCACTGGACCACAAGGTTGGCAGTTCAAATTCACCCACCCCTCCTCGGAAATCCTATCCAAGGTTGCTATGAATTTGGAACCGACTTGGTGGCACTTAACATGTCTGTTCAGAGGTAGAATTCTTGCCTCGGTGGAGCAGACCTGGATTTCATTCATCTACTAACACAGCTCATGCTCAGCTAACCCTAACTTAACCTAACCCTAGGGTTAGCCACCCGTCCATCATGGCTAGGATGCTGAACAGCGTTCAGTGGCATTTCCTGACTAAGACGGACTAGGAAGGAAAACCTGGTAATCTACTCCTGAGAATCAGCCAAGGAAAGCCCTAGGAGTCACAACTGATCTGCTCTACAACTGATCATCGGGTTGACACAGGGCCAGGTCTCGTATCACTGTTGCGCATGGGGTCGTCCTGAGTCAGGGGCAAACCAGTGGCCGCTAACAGCAACAACATCTGTGGGGAGCACAGATAGCAGCAGACAATCTGCAGCGGCAGCGCCCTGCACAAGAGCCCCAAGCTACACTGGTGGCATTACATAAGCATTTCAAGGACCTGCAGACAGGCCCTGAGGTTTCCTCAAATTTATCTGGGCCCTTTGGTAGTATCTCCCTGGTCATTTCCTCTTCCTCCTTTGAGCTCTGGGATAACTATTTTCCTCTCCAGCCACTCTTCCTGAATTGACCACATTTGTTTCTTTTCTTCTGCTTCTGACTAGACGTTGAGAGCCCTGAGTTCTACCCTGTTCCCACATCTCCGTGCAAACTTGTCCATTTCTGTCGTTCAGTTGTCTTCAGCCCAGAGTTCTCCGAAAGCCCCCCCCCCGCCCCAGTATCTGACTGACTCTCCCCCTCCTCATGCAGCCCAAGTCTTCAAGAGGCCACATTCCTCCCCCTCACTGCCTAGCCAGGGTATTCTGTCATGTCATGAAATCGTCTTCTTTTGTTGGTGGTGAACCATTTATCAATGGAAAACCCATTCTTAGTTCATGGACCACACAAAAGCAGGCAGATTTGGCTCCCAGGTTGTAGTCTGCTGACCCTTGGCTTAGACTATAAGCTCCTTGAAGTCTGCAGCCCCGTAACTGACAAAGACTAGCATTTTGCACAGGAAGTAACTTGGTAAACATTCCCATTCTGACTGTGACAATTTATGGCAGCATGTAAATCTTTATGGTCACAATCCATATTCAAAACCAAAAAAAGAAGACATCAGATAATATGAATATTAGCTCCTTCCATACTGAAAACTTTCTATGGGGATGGTGGTGGTGGATATCACTAGTAATACTTGTACAATGATAAGGGAACCATTTGATTAAGTGCCACCAGCCAAATCTTTTCATTTATCATCAACATGTCGAAGGATTTCTGGTTTCTAGCTTTGTGTTGGTAAAGATAAGATTTGGGCATGGTCTGTCCACACAACTGTCCAGACCACAGCTTTCACCTAATCAAAACAAACACGTCACAACACAGCTCTCGTGGGACGGCGGCTAGTGTTCTCAGAGATGGTACTCACCATTCCACTGATGCATCGGCCACAGGCGGTGGTTTTAAACTCACCGTGCAGTTCCTTCACTGCACTTGTAGTGTAAAAGCCTTCTGCCAACAGAATGATCCCGTATAAGAAGAAAAAGGACGCAATTCCGTAGATGACATACTGCATCAGCTGGATCCTATGAAAAGAAAGGAGACCCTGAACCTTCACCACAAGAGAGAGACTATCTTCCTGGACTTTTAAGAGAGCACATGAGAGTGATCTTCCTGGGACATCTCCCATCCCTCTATTGGTTTTATTGGCTCATGGGGTGTTCTGGGTAGGCATCCCTGCCCACCCCTCAACAACCTAGGCCTTCCTTCCATGGGTGGGCATGGTGGTTGAAGTGGCCAAGTAGTTTCCTCTGACCAAAGGGCAGGAGTCCCATCCTGCGAGGTGAGGATTAGAATCCCTGTTTCTCATAATAAATACACATGCGTGGAGAAGTGACGTGACTCATCCAAAGATCCAGTTTGGTGGTGAAACCAACATGAGAATTAGTAAAATCAAATTACTTTCACGTCCCTTCTACCATATCAAAATGCTTCCCAACCAGCCCAAATGGTTACTGTCATTCTGACTACCCCTATGCATACGCTCAGGGCTTCTTTAGAAGTAACCGGGGCAGATGTTCTTGTGTGAAGATGCTCATTTAGACTTCCATAGAACCAAGTTGCCTGGGAAGTAACTTTTTGTGTCTTCAACTTACTTGACACACAGTCCCTTGGACAATGAGAATGCCAATGCTAACTCTATAGGGTGATGATAGGCAGCATCAACGACTTCCCACTTGGCCACAGGCCCCCAAGCCCATGGGGACTATGTGCCATGTCCTCACCATTCCCAGGTGGGAACCCATCCCAGGTCCCAAACACCCACTGCACCTGGGCCCTTGCCTTTTCCTTCCCTCACAGACCTTTTTCTATCCAGACACAATTTTGCTAGAGGAGTACGTTGTAGTCTTTTGAAAATATCACACAGATTGACCACTTTTGAACACGAGGGGGGGCTTCTAAACATTTGTGGCAAAATAGATAATGGAATTTTCTAACTTTTCAAAACATCTACACACATTCTGAAAGAGAAGCAATACTTACACCTCGCTCAGCAAAGCATGGTCACTGGTGTTGGTGGAGAAGTGTTGCTCAAGAATCGCCACGGTGCCAGCAAGAGCCACATGCCCACAGCCGCAGAACAAGGCAACCCCGGAGAAGCAGAGGATGGTGGCCACCAGGGAGGCATAGGGGACTCCTCCCAGACACTTGATGCAGCATTCGAAGCAGCCTGGGCCCAAAGAGGAGCAGATGGAGCCATTATGGGCAAAATGCCTCTGAGCTTCATGAATACTATACTCAACAGAGAAGTATCAACTGGCCCTCGTCCCCTCAGGTGCTATGGCTGAGACCTCCACATCCCAATGGGCAGTACTGCTGGGATAGTGATGATGATTTCATGTTGAGTAAGGGCTCTCACCTCTAAAGGAAAGGGTCCAGAGGGGTGGTGAATGGCAGAGCCGTCAACTAGCCAACAGTGGTGGACCGAGTCACAATGCTGGAGTTTCCTGCTCCATGGGGACTTCTTGGGACAATGAGGAACACTCATTCCATTAGTCAAGGCCAAAGCAAGGACATCAGTGACATGCAGCAGCATTCCCCAAAGCCCCAACCTTCTAGGAGTGTTCAGTACGTTCATTTCTGTAGCAGCCAATGGCTTGCCTCTTGGACAACCAGAAGAATCAAACAGAAGAATTATACTGTTGCTGGGCTCTGAAAACAATATGATCATTTGGGGAAGATGATGGGTAATTGGGTCTCCCTCCTTGCAAGGTCACCAAGACCCACTCAAGTGGATCCACTCAAATCAATCTTAAAAGTGACCTCACTCTTTTATAAAAATGTTCTCCCCTCAGTCCAAGCCAGCCTAAGCAGTTGATTCATAGTCCGTCCACCTCCTCCTCCCCAGCTCCCATCTGCCCCCTTTCCAACATGCGTTCAGAGAAAGAACTGAGACGTGGCGAATGATGTTTCAGTACTTAACAAGGAAAAGAAACATGAAAAACCAAAGAACAAAAAAATGAGCATCCATGAAGGGAAATGAAGGAAAGAGCCACAATTCCCTCTTAAACTTGAAAAAATGAGCTTTTTGTTTTTGTTTTTGTTTTTTTAAATAGATCTTTACTTGACATGTCTAGCTGATGTCCTTGGCAGAGCCAGGTGACATTTTACATCTGAAGAGACATCTATGCTTCAGTAAAGCAGTGCTGGCTAACCTCGCCTCCCTGTTGATGTTATCCAGACCCTTAAAGTAAATGGTCTGTTGTCAGGGGGAGCCAATTCGAAATACATTATGATGCTTAACACTAATCAAGAGCATTTCATTACTTCAGGGCAATAACAGGAAGGCATCTCAATTTCTTTCCTCCAGATGGTCTTCCTAGGGAATGACCAGTCTACAGGAAAAAAGAGAGAAATGTTTCAATTTTGATGAATGTTCCAACCTAAGTTGGCATTTGCTTAAACATCTTATGGCCAGTAGCTAAGAACTTTTATTACCCGATTTTCTTTAGGCCATTGGAAAAGCTAAAGGGACAGACCTTCCTAAGAAAGCTGTGCTTCCTTGTATTCCAATAGATGACCTTCTGTCTTCAGGAAGATCAATCCCCTGAAATGGATTTGTGAAACTACACAAAATGGGAACTTGTACACAAAACCAGTTCAAGTTCACTTGCAAGTCAGTACATTAAAGAGCTTCGGCCACTTGACAGATGGGAACAGAGATCTACGGTGGAGTTCCATTCTTATCTGCTATATGACTTCCTGGGGACTAGGGCGGAGTAAGAAGAATGCCAACAAAAAGTCCCAATTCTCTCCAGGCTCCCAAACCAAAAGAAACTAACGTCCTTGGCCTCAATGCATCATGTTGATAAAGAGAAAAAAGAGCCATTTGTGTATTTTATCATTCCAGCCTCCCTCATGCTCAGTGTTTCTAAGATGATGTTAAATAGACAACTGCCCACTTTCCTGGCTAATGCCGTTGTGACTGGTCCTTAGTGGATAGAGATGTGTGGCTTTGAGACTGGGTCTGTACAACAGGGTCCCCACTAGTACGTGTGGCAATTTACAATGGAAGTATACAGAAATTAAACAAAACGTTCAGTCTTTACTCTCATTAGCCATACTTCACATGGTCAGTAGTGGACAGCACAGGTCTCGAACATTCATTCCATCATTGCAGGACATTGTTTTGGAAAACACACTTTGCTTACACCATATTTGATTTTCTAACTGTGTTCTGATTTTCATTCTGTTTGTTATTTAGTACTTTTTGAAGACCTACTGGATGCCAAGTCCTGTGCTTGGCAATCGGTTACAAATATGAAATCAGATATCTTATTTTTTTCACCTTCTAAATTTTTTTTTGTTGTTGAACACATACACAGCAAAGCATACACCAGCTCCCCGTTTCTCCGTGCACACTTCAGGCACACCGAGGGCATTCTTCATGTTGGACAACCATTCTTACTCTCCTTTTCTGAGTGGTTCCTCCCTCATCAACGCCACCCTCACTGTTTCCATCTTTCCAGCCACTGTGTCAATCTGATCCCATAGCATTGCTGTTGAGGGCCGGCCGTCAAGTCAGTTCCAACTCATAGCAACCCTGAATATGGTTTCCAAGGAACAGAACAGCTGGTGGATTTGAACTGTTGACCTTGTGGTTAGCAGTCCAATGCTTATCCTACGGCACCACACGAGGACTCCCATACAGATAGATCTAAAAAGAGCATAATGCTTAAGGTAGGGGTTTTTTGATTACTAAGCTAATACTTAAGAATTGAGTTGGGTTGTTTTTTTTTAAAAAAAAAAACAAAAACTGTCTTTAAGAAGATATTTTTGGTTTAACACTTAAAGATGATCTCAAGGCAATAATTTTAGGGAATCATCTAGTCTCCATGGCTCCAGAAAGTCTAGAGTCCATGAATTTGAAATTCTGTTCTCCAGTTTCCTCCCTTTTGATCAGAATTCTATGGAATCTCTGATCAAAATGTTCAGCGATTGTACCTGAGCACCATTTAGATCTTCCGGTCCAGTGGCAAAGGAGGCAATTGTTAGTGGAGGCAATTAGCTACACGTTCCATATCCTCCTCCGCATTCTTGACTCTCCTCCTTCCTCCATTGCTCCAGGTGATAGGTAGAGACCACTTTTTGTGCTTTAGATGGCTGCTGGCAAGCTGATTAAGACCCCAGGCACTACACAACACAATAGGAAGTAGAACAGAAGTACTAAACATGTTTGGAGGCCAACTGAATCGAGATGTCCCGTGAAACTATGACTTTAAACTTCAAAACCAAGAAGCCAAATTCCCTAAACATGTTAGGAGGCCAACTGAATCGAGATGTCCCGTGAAACTATGACCTTAAACTTCAAACCAAGAAACCAAATCCCATCAAGTGTTTGCTTGTACATAAGCAGTCATAGCAACTTCTTTTTGGTCATTGTATCGATCACTTTTATCTCCATACATTTGCCTTTTCTTGGCTTTTTATGTAAGTAAGGTCATAAAATATTTATCCTTTGTGATTGGTTTATTTTACTCTCATAATGCCTTCAAGCTCCATCCGTACTGTACCATGTATCAAGATTTAATTTCTCCTACTGGCTGAAGAGTAATCCATTGTATGAATGTACCACATTGTGTTTTTCCATTGACCTGCTGATAGAAGGTAGAAACCACCTACATACCTATTGTGAATAGTGCTACAATAAACGTTGGGGGACAGATCTCTTTTTGAGTCTCTAACAACGTCTTTGGGGTTTACAGCTCGGAGTGGAATTGCTGGTTGTGGAGTGAAATGGTACTTCTATTTTTAGTTTTTGTAACGACCATGCCGTTGTCCACAATGGTAGTACCATTTTGTATTCCAGCCAGCAATGGCTAAGGGTTCCAATTTCCCTACAGCCTCACCACTATTGGTTATTTTCTGTTTATTTTCGTTTTTAAATCTAGTGGGAGTGTAGTGGTTTTGATTTCAATTCTGAGGGCTAATGATGCTGAGTGTCTTTTCATGTGCTTGGTAGACATGTGAGTGCACTCTTTGGTGAAATGTCTATTCAATTCTTTGTCCATTCTATATTTGGGTTATTTGTTGCCAAAGGTTTATGAATAGCTTAGTTATTAGATTCTTCTTGAATATATGATTTCCAGAGATATTCTCCCAGTTGGTAGCTTGTCTTTTCACTTTTTGGTGCACCCTTTTAATGACCAAAATTTGTTTTTACGAGGTCCTATTTATGCATTTTGTCTTTTGGTTGGTTGTGCTTTTACTAGACCTGACAACATTGTCCCTGTTTGTTCTTCTAAGAGTTTTATGGGTTTAGGCTGCACATTGAGGTGCTTAATCCATTTTAAATGTGTGGTGTGTATGTGTGCGTGTGTGTGTGATGTGACACGGATCCTATTTCATTTCTCTGCATGTGGAAATCAAAATTTCCCAGCACGGTTGATTGAAAAGACTCCTGTTTCCCCATCAGATGAATTTCGCACCCTTTTCAAAAAATCCGTTGACCATAAACATGTGGGATTATTTCTGGACTCTTAATTCTTATTCCATCGATCTATGTGTCTATTTTTTGACTAGTACCAGGATGTTTTGATTACAGTAGCTATGTTGTTGTTGTTAAGTGTTGTCATGTTGGTTCTGACTCATAGTGGCCCTGTATAGAGTTTCCTAAGGAGTGGCTGGTGGAGCTGAACCACTGATCTTGTGGTTCAAACCGATAACTGCAGTTAAGTGCTTATACTACAGCACCACACCAGGACTCCACCGTAGCTAGACAGTATGCTTTCATATCTAGAAGTATGAAGGCCTCTTCCTTTGTTCTTCTCAGACACTATCTTTGCTTTGCAGGAAAGTCAGTCTAATGTTGTGGGCAGACAATTGATTATTATAATACAGTGTAACAAGTGCCCAGGTACAGATTGCCGGGAGCTGGTGGATGGTGGGCAGAGAGGCCGAGGAGAAGGAAGGAGAGCAGGGAATTCAATTCATACTGGAGAAGGGGTCAGACATGGTGAAACTGACGATGAGCTCCTAAGCTGTTCATTAATTTCTCAATGCTTTCTGCTATATAATCTATACCTCTATTTACTAAACCCAAATCCTTTCCCATGACTTGGTGTTTGGGTTGTGTATTATGAGACAGAGGCACTTGCCCCTTAATAATAGAGCTCTTCCTTCATGACCCACACTTACCACTTCAAAAGGTTTTTTTTTTTTTTTTTCATT